ACTGAGACACGGATACAGAGGTACAGAGGGCAGACCATGCCACGAGACTCAGGAAGAAGATGTCTCCACAAGCCAAGGAGAGGCCTGGAGTGGCTTCTTCCCTCAAGCTCCTGGGAGAACCAGAAGTGTTTGGTCCAGCTCGATGCTAAAAAAAAAAAAAAGGCCATTGCTTAAGCCACATAGTCTAGGATGCTTTGTCACAGAGCCTCAGCCTCTGAGGACAGTAAGTAACATATCCCAGAATGAATCAGGTTAGACCCATTCCAGGGGCATTTTCATTTTAAAGAGTAGAAAAAAAGCCAAAGAAAAACATCTCAAAGGAGGGACACAGGGTGCTCTGAGAGTTGGTGGGTGAACAGTGGGGACAACACATCTGAGTCTTGCTCCCAGGCTACCTCACTTGGGCGTCCTGGAGAGCCCAGGGCCTGTCCCCAAGGGCCTTCTCAGCGTTGTCCCCGTCTCCCCTGCTCTGAGCCCTTGGTATCTGTGTAGCTGCTCCGTTTTGGTACCCACCACCCCCAGCTAACCAGGCACCCTGAGCTGGGGCTTTTGGATCCAGGTGTTTCTGGTTTCCAGAGATGAAAATTCCCTGGGGTCACATTCCCTATTTAATTTTACCCTGTGGTCCCAGAGCCTGCAATGTCCTGCCCATGGCCCCTTCTCTGCATGAGAAGGACAGGGGACAGATAAGGCACAGGGGCAAGGTCTGGGGCACCTTGCTGCTTGTCTGACCCGAGTCTTCCCTGGAATGAGCCCAACTTATTGAGCAGGTGCTCCGGGCCAGGCTTCCGGTCAGGCACTGGGGGACAAGCACAAAGTGAGCAGTCTACGGGGGAAAAGCCACAATGGCTATATCTCTCCAGATTGTTCTGGAAGGTCAAGGGTCACCTCCTTTCTCTGTGTTCTTGTGCTGTCTGTATCCTCTCCTTGCCTGAGCCCATCTGTTGTAGATACAGGTCCAGTGAGTCCCTTTCCCGAAATGCTTGGGACTAGAAGTGTTTCAGATTTCGATTTTTTAAATTTTTATTTTATAATATTCACATTATACATACCTTGGGGCTGGAACCCCGAGTCTAAGCCCAGAATCCATTCTGTTTCGTAGATGATCTATATAAACCTCCAAGCTGAAGGTAATCTTATACACCGTTTTAAGGACCGTGGTGCGCGAGACACAGTTTTGTGGTGTGGCATTCTGCATTTGTGGTGTCGGGTTGGTGCTCAGAAGTCGCTGGTTTCAGGCCATTTTGGACTTCGGGATTGGGGGTTAGAGATGTTCTACCCGTGTGGACCTGGAGGGCTTGGCAATCCTGCTGCTCAAACTTCCTCCAGAGGTTTTTCCTGGGCCAGGCACCGAGAAGGAAGTGTGAATCCAACTTCAGGGTGAATGATGACAACGTGGGGGAACCTGAGTTCCCGCCAGGGATTCGGGGATTCTGAATTCAGGGGCTAGGTAGGGCCCAAGACCGTGTTTCCCGCCAGCACCTCCCGGATTGCCGTCCTGGGATCCTGTGCACCACACTCCGGGAAAGCTCTGTTAGCGTCTGGGCCCTTGGCTGGATTTCTTTGTATTCTCACAAGAGAAAACAGAACGCGGGGAACTGTGGAGAGTGAAACTGATCAGGAAGGAAAGGATTCTGGGGGTGAAATTACAAAGTCAATTAAGCCTTGAGAGAACGGAATCCCATCCCTACTATGGAGGGTATTGCTGCTCTTTTAAAAGGTGCCTCCCTGAGGGGACAGTGTTGGACTGGCTGAGGGTCCCCTGCCTTTTCACTAAAATTTAGACCCGAGATTCACGAACCTCATGGCATGTGGCTGGAAAATTGCCCCCCGGAGCCCTCTTTGAAAGTTACTTGTATTTCTTTGATTTTCCTAGGATCTGGGGCTTGCTAATTGCAGATCCTAGGTTTTTCCTTGAAACAAGACAGTAAATTAGGTATAACGAGATTGTCCTGGTGGTGTCACACCTTTGTGCTCCTCAGGTGTCCCCCCAGGTAACAAAGGGGTGGGGACCTGCTATGAGGTCAGAACCCCACTTGGGAGTTGATCTCTGGTAGATTCATGTGCCAGCTGTTCTGTGCTGTCCTCGTACCTTGTCCTGGGGGATGCGGGGCAAAGGAAGCAAGGTCTTGCCAGCCAACCAGGGGGCTGTGTGTCTTGGACAAACCTGTTGCCCTCTCTGAGTCTGGGTTTGCAGATAAGAGGTTCCTAGTTCCGTCAGTGTGTAGTGTGGCCAAATCACCTTCACCTCTTCATCCCCTTTCGAGCTGCCCTGGCCCACATGCCAGCCCACCATCTAGAGTGGTACCTGGCCGGAAGGAATCATCCACATGGCTCTTTGGTTCTCAGCATGGCCCTGGACTTGACCACTCGGTATCTGGCACAGTTTTGAAATGTCTAAGTGGGTGAGGAAGAAGGCAGCTGGCTTCAGTGATAAGCTTTCTTGGGGGAGCCTCCTCTTCCTTCAGCTCGATCCAGCTGCTGGAGTGCTGGGCCCCAGCCTGGGGCCAACTTCCCTCCCACTCTCCTGACTCACATCTTTCCTCCAGTCTCAGGAGAGCGGCATCTGTCACTCCCCTCTCTTGGTGAGCAGGACGGCCTCTGGCAGGATCTCAGCCATAACCCAGTGAGCCCGAGCAGCCTGCAGGGCTGGGAGGTCGGCTCCCCCTGTGCACAGTCTTCTCTGGCGGCTTAGAGCAGTGGCGGGCACGCTGAGACTGGTCCTGGGAAACCTGAAGACCACCGCGTTCTCTCCTGCCTCCACCACGTGGACCCTCCTCCCATGAGATCTCCAGAGAGATCTCCCCCTGGAAACCCAAACAGAACCCCTGCCAATGTGTTGGGGGAGGAGAGCTCATGCTCACATGGGCTTTCCAGAACATTCCTATAATTACAGCTCGACTCTAAATGCTTATTATCCTGAAGCCAGTGTAGTCACTGCCAAGGAGATAGGAAAGACTCCACATCAGCGGCTCCAGCGCGAGGTTTAGGGAAATCAAGGGTTTCCACTGGATCTGGAGTAAGAGCAAATGGTGGGGACTTTAGCCACAAATGCAGAACAGCTCCAAGATTCTCAGAGAAGGAGTGGGGAGGAGGAAACGAGGTGGAGGAGAGCAAACAGTCATAGGACCTAGTTGTGGAGAGGGCAGAGACTTTGAATGCAGAGACCCAAGGTCGATCATTTGCAAGGATTCTGGAATATGTAGACTGCGGGATGTTGAAATGTGCTTTCCCCCAACTCTCACTCATTTCTACGTGTTTCTATAGCTCGCTGCTGCGTGCCAGGTATTGTCCCACGCTCTCCACATACACCAACTCCTTTAATTAAATTTCCATTGATTTTTTTTTTCACAGTTTCTAGATTTATGGAATTTTCAACTGGAGACTTTTAGTAAAAATCTGTGATCACTCTTCACCCAAAGAAGCTCTTGGACCTGAGACAGAACCTTCCAGATCCCAACCTCCACCCTCCCTGTTCTCACCTGCATCCCTGTGGCCTGCCCTGGAAATGTTTAACCCTTTGTCTACTTGATGTGATGAGGACTAGTGAGAAAAAAGGGGGTGGGGACAGCCTGGAGCATGGGGAGTGGAGGGAGGAGGGTGGCCTGGGGCAAGGGACCAGAATCAGCAGGCCAGCGCAGAGAAAGGCTGTCACCAAGTCAGCAGAGGCTGTGTTTCCTAAGATCTACCATCTAAGCCAAAGGAGGGGAACTGGTCTGGTGGCACACTTCTGACTCAGCTTCTCCTTCCCCTTAGCTCATTCTCAGCAAGCTCATCTCAGGGCAGGGATGGAGGAGTTGCGATGAGCTTCTCTGTGTAGGAGGGGATCATCTTTCCTGCCAAGGTATGACCCCACTCCTTGAAAGATTGATTTGGAAGAAGCACTCAAGGCAGGATGCAATAGAAACAGGCCACATGGTGGCTTTGCTGGGACACTGTGGCCCAGCTCTGTCCAAACTCAAAGAAGTTTCCATTCTGCTTACTTGGCACCATTCACCTGTTTGTGATGCCGAAGGGGAGGTGCAGTGACATTCCTGATAAAGTGACAATCTTCCCAGAAGCCCTATGTTCCAGGGCCAATCAGTCCTTCTGCCTGAGTGTGGGTAGGTTATGAGGGGCCTGGGGACCGGGGACAGAGGCTCCTCTCAAATCTGCACACCCCTTCTCCCATCTTTCCCCCTCCCCAGGCCCACCACGGAATCCTAGAATCCAAAACACAGAAGTCAGGCTTCTCCTGACCCTTCAGGTGGGCATCAAAGCAGATCTTTGCCTCCAAAGGTGAATTAGCCCATTTAGTGTCGTGGGTCAAGGTCCTGGGAGATAGTGACCAGAGCCACAGGGAGGGTAACTTGGCCATGTTTAGACGGGGCAGTGATGGAGGGGAACCCAGTTGGGATGAAGGAAGAGCCCCAACTCAGCCAAGGGGGGCTTTAGGAAGCCCTTACCACTGTCGTTGTGTTTGGGGGTGGTCTCAGACAGGAAGGCAAGATTCTCTCTACCTCAGTGTCCTCATAAAAAGAGGCAGAGAGCCTGGTGTGAGCATCTAACGAAGTCATGCAGGCAGAGTGCCTACTCCAGCATGTGACATCCTGTAAGTATCCCCCACGTTAGTGTTGGGGATTGCGCTGAGCTGGACCGGTCTCCTGGTCGGTCAGGGAACACTCACTACTGTTTGGCCCCTTCCCAGCAACACCTGGTGCTACATCTTGGTGACAGCGGGAGGATGCGTTTCCTCGTCCTGGCCTGATACATTTAGGTCCTGGATCCATAGGTTGGTGCTGGGTTCCATGGATCATAAACATGCAGGTTGAGTTTGAGGAAGGCTGAGAGACCCAGTTTCATGTTTGATAATTTGAAAGCAAATTTTCCAAGAAGGTGGCACTGCTCTCTGGCTCTGCTCAGGGAGTGGTTTTGTGCCCAGCTCAGGAAAAGATGGATGAAGTCCATTTTGAGTTCTAGGATTCCTGGGTGGGCATGAGGAATGGGGAGAGGGAGGGATGTGAAGATTTGGGAGGCAGTAGGAGGAAGGATCCTATCAATATAAATCCTAAAATCCTACCTATAGCAGCATCCCTTAACCACAAACCCACATTCTATTAAATTGTCTAAAAATGTTTTGGGATTCCTGCCTCTATAATAACCAAATGTTTGATAGCATTATCTTTCTTCCTTGAAGCTATTTCTTTCTTCAGTCCTACCTTGTTCCCGTGAGTCTTGCTTCTCTGGAGGCCTGAAGAAAGCAAAGTACCTTAGAAGCCAGAGCCCTGCACTGGTGCTGTGAGCAGCCCCTCACGGCTGGCTCCCTGGTGCACTCTGGCTTCCCCAGCCCAGGCCTGGCTCATTGCTAAGTCACATACCCAAGAAGCTACAGCAGGAGGGCTAGACTGGCCACTCTGACCCCCTCCTCCTGCCTCCTCTGGACAGAAGCACTTGCTGGTTCCTGCTGAGACCAAGGGAGAGCATCAACCATGGGGAATTGGGAGCCTTGAGGTGGGGAGAGAGTCCATAAGGCCCAGGTGACCTGTTTGCTTTTTGGAGTGTTGACTCTACTGCTCCAGAAGCCACAGCCTAGTGGCCGGATGTTCACAGGTGAGGACTTCATTCCTGAGATGGTGGTAATATGGGGTCAGACTAAGTGGAGAGGTTTAATGCACAGGGACCCCTCTGTGGATTTGGAGGGTGCTTTGCTATCAGCAGTCCCAAACCCCAGGGAATGAGAGCTCATGCATAGCAAAGGCTCTGGACTTTACAGTTGCAGGATCCGATCTGCAAGGGAATTTCCCTGGACAAGCGTCTTCCCCGTTGGGCCTGGCTGCCGTTTTTGAGGTGAGTTCTCTTCTTTTCTTCTATGGGCGCGTTTGGTTTCAGCTGTGTGTATTTCACAGCCTGCGACAGGTGCCTCTGCTTTCTGCCCTTGAGGCTCCTGTTCAATGCAGCTTTACCAGCCACACCTGAGATTAGGCTCTTGGATCCTGAGTCTAGGGTGAAAGTAAGTGGCTCTGTCCTTGGAGAAGAGAGAGGGACAGATAAACAACCTCAATACATGGTCCCCGCGGTGATGGAGTTGCTTTTACACCTTGTGGTAGACAGAGAAATAAATCTGAGGAGAATGAAAGCTTCCAGCGTGGTCATGGGTAGAAGACGGGGCTGGAGACAAGCGGTTTGGGGCAGAGGGAAAGCCAGGCATCGAGGGCAGGGGTAATCACGGATGCTGAGATGTCCTGTGTACGGGGAGCCACGATGAGCAATGAGGGCGGACAGGAGCCGGACAGGAGCCTGCCAGGAATTTTAAGTACACGGGATGAGATGGTCAAGTTCACATGTTAGAAAGCCGCCCCGGTGTCCAGCAGGGGACATGTTGCTGGGGACTTGGGCTGGATCCAGGAAGAGCAGTTAGAGGCATTTGTGACATTCCAGGCAGGGAAGGTGACAGCAGCAGTTTGAAGTGGCGGTGGAGGCTGGGGGTCAGCTGGAGAGATTTGGGGGATGGAAAGTGACCAGACGGTTTCTGAGTATGGGACACATGGGCAGGCAGGAAAGAGGAGCATGCAGGATGGCCCTTGGTCTGTGACGTTGGTGGTTGGTGGCTTTGTTCTCAGAGTTAGGGAGCTAGGGACAGCGAGCCTTCGGGAAGAGTAGGACGAGCTGATGGGGGTGTTTTGGAGAGCAGAGTCCAAGGGGCTCACGGGAGTCGCCAACGTAGGTGGCCCAAGGCTGCTGGGTGGAGGCAGAGGAGGAGTCCTGGGGGACGGTCTTGGAGAAGTCGTCGGCAGGGGATGATGCTTGAAGTCTGTGCACAGGTGAGTGGCGGAGAGGAAGGAAGTGGAGCTCACAGACAGCCCAGCTCTGGGGAGCAGCACCTGAGAGATGGCAGAGGAAAGAACGCGCACCCCGGGGAACAGGAGGGGCCACCAGGGAAGGGAGAGGGTGCAGAGGGTCCAAAGTGGAAGCAGAACGGTTCAAGGAGGAGGTTGAGGCCAGTGGTAAACGCAGCAGAAGGGCAAGTGAGACTTGAAAAACCCTCGGATTGGGGAATGAGGAAGTCACATGTCACCTTGGAGAGAGCTGTTTCAGTGGAGAGAAGGAGGGGGACAAGTCCAAGAGGCCCAGGGGTCATGAAAGGTGAGAAAGCAGGTTCCCTAAACATGGGTTCACTTAAGAGAAACCCCATCATGTGGACAAAGACAAAAAGTTAGCAGACCCTCCGGTGGCAACGCCTTGGAACCTTAAAAGAAGACGTGACAGAGAGAGAGACTTTAAGAATGCAAGGACTATGGGGGTCAGATGTTTGTGGGAAGTTATGAAACAAACAGGGGGAGCATGTGGCTGGAACTTGGACCCGGGGGCTGGGGACAAGTGGTCCTCGAGACACAGGCAGGTGAGGGGCGGGCGGGGCTGGACACTGCTTTCTCCAGTGGGTTAGGAAGCAAGATGGCCTCTATCAGGAGCCTTGGCAGATGGCCTGAACGGTTCGGCAGTGCTGAGGAGGACCATGGAGCACGGGGTTAGCCAGGAAGGTGGCGGGCACTGAGCTTCCCCTGAGAGCGGCTGTCAGCTGTGTGGGGCTCTGCGGGCCCTTCCTCAGTGACCCAGAGCCACGGGGCCACGGGAGTGCAGAGGACCTTTGGTTGGCCTGGTGGCGATGCAGGCCGTGTGGTTGGAGTTCCTGGTGTGAGAGTGACCATGGCCAGATGGGCTCGCTGGGGGAGGGGTGGCGGGAGGGGCCAGGTGACACACGGGGGGAAAGGGAGCGCCTAGAGACCCCGATGAGGGGGGAGAATGGCAGAAAGAGGGCCAGAAAGACAGCACGCTGGGTCGGGGACCTCGGGTTTCACGGTGTCAGACGTGGGACGGTTTTGGACGATGCTGAGTCCAAGCAAGACCTGGCGTGAGGGTGGGTTGTAAAGGGCGTGGGCAGAGAAGAGCTTTCCAACCCAGGAGCCGCATGCTCTAGTGCCCCCTGCCATCGGGCCCCCTCGAGGGCAGTGGCCAGGGCTGGTGTGGACCGTGAGAGGAGGTCCGTCCGGTGAGCCCCAGCGACAGCCCTGGCCTCCCCGTCAAAGCAGATGAGGGCCAGGAGGCTTGGCGCCTCCGTCTCCTTGCCCGGTTCTACCTATGGACGCTGCTTATTTAATAGCCAAGGGGCAAAGCCAGTTGTTTCCAGCACAGAAAGAAATGGAAACTTCGGCCAGAAGGGTGTCAGGGACTTGCCGGAAACAACACCACAACGCTGACCTCAGCTTGTCACCCCATCTCCCTCCTCCTTCCCTTGGCTTCCCCTCCTGCCTGTAACCTACCCTGCAGAGCCGGGCCATCTTGGGCCTCCCGGGGTGTGCCCTCTGGAGAGCTGGCATTTCCATGTGATACAGGGGTGCGGAGGGAATTTTCCCACTTGGCAGAGTGGCGTGAGGACCAGGAGGGAGTGTTTGTCCTGCCCGGCAACAAGAGGTATCCAGTCCCTACTTCTCCTGTCTCCCGAGCAAGTCTGTTGCTGTTTACGTGGGTCCAGTTTTCCATAACAGTACCTTCTCTTCCCACAGGTCCCAGGAAGCTCTATATTTTTATTTCAGAAGAAGATTCTCTCTCCACCTCCACTGTGTCTTAGAAGGGACAACTCAGGCACGTACCTTTCAGCCACCTGACCTCTACCTAGGTGTGAGGTCCTTGAGGTGGGCACGCGGCCGTGTCTTATTGATTCTAGAATCTTACACTCTCTCCCAGTGCTCAGCACGCGGGGAGCTTGTTTGTTGAATGAATGGATGAAACTCTGGCACACCACTCGGAAGTGGTGGCTTGGGAGGCTTGAACAACTGTGACAGGTGTGTGACAGAGCCCTCACCTCTCACCCGTCACTCCCTGCAGAAAAGGGAACAGAAATGGGAAAAAACACGAAAGCCCAAGATGCTGGGGTTTAATCTTGGCTTTTCCGCTGGCTGCTGTGTAGCCTCAGGTAAGTCTTCAAACCTCTCTGAACCCCAGTTTTCTCCTGTGCAAACCAAGAGAGTTAACATCTCCTCTGTCAGATGGTGAGACAGATTAACTGTGGCTACACTTAGTAATGAGAAGTTGAGAATGGATGGATTAGGAGAGAAGTCCTTGAGTCCCATCAGCCCGGGTCCCTGGGTCAGAGATTTTTATCTCATTACACAGTGTCTCCTGAAGCTGCCCACGTGGTATTTTCCTCTACATGGAATTAATCTGGAATTGATTCCATGTCTGAGACCCAGCATGAGCCGTGTGCCTGGGACGCCCATGCGTGGGAATAGAAGCTGAGAGAAGGCTGTCTGTACGTGGTGGTGCATCCTGTCCCCAGGCAGCAGTGTGGTTAAGAACATGACCTGGAAAAGGTCTTTCTGAAAGGCACAGAGGGAGGAGTGGTGGTGGTGCCCAGGGGCCCCGAATAGCTCCAAAGTTATAGGTCCGGAGAGGCTGGATGTGAACACTCACCATGTTCCAGGTATGGGCTGGTTGCTTTTTACTCACTCCGTCTCACGATGTTGAGAAAGCTGGATCCCGAAAAAAGGAATTCTGGATACAATAGCTTTCCCCTGAGTTACCAGATACACAGGACAAACTGATTTGTTCAATGCTGTTTGATGCAAACAGAAACAAAAGAAACTGGTGCCAGTGTAGGCAGGAGAGTTTTGGAACAGTCTGTGGACTAATGACAGACTGGAAACTGTGAGAAGGCAGGGATTCCATCTGTTTGGCCGATCTGTATATAGTGCTTAACAGATGATAGATGCCCAACACAGGATTTGATGTTTGGAGCTGTAGTGGCCATTTTGTGACCATGAGTAAAAGTATAAGAATTCCAGGGAAAGTGACTCAGAGCCCTGACACATTTGAGCTGCTAAATGAACCCACCCTGCAGCCACCTAACTTCAGACTTCTTGCCGTACTGCATAATTAAATATGCTTAATTTTAAAGGTCAATTTTTCCTAATTTTATTTTATGTTTTACTTATACCTGGGAGTGTCATAACTGACCCCGTCACCAAGTGTGAGTTTAGTCTTCCTTTCTGTGCTTCAGGTGTATCATCACCACCTTGCCACACCTTAGGAGGCCGATGGCAGGTCCCCATTTCTTAGTTGAGCCTATAAAATGTGCTGGGCTCGTTGGGCAGGTCTCCCCACTTTGAAAGGAACTCGGGCATTCCTCATGAGGGCTGGATTCCTGGCAGTGCGGGTGGCAGAGAATGGTCCTGGCAGTTTCATGTTTGATTTGTCCGGGTGCCACGTGGAGCCAGGTGCCAGGACCAGGTCACGTGATCCGACCCATCTTGTTGACCTGCCTGTCGCTGAGCCTCATGGCGGGCATAGTTCGCATTCCTCCCTCTCCTGGAGACTTTTATGAACATGGTCACCTGAGCTGGCTCCCTGGGCACGTTCTCCTTCCTCCTTGGGTTGGCTGTGCTCTCTCCAGCCCAAACGAGGGCCAGGGGTGGTCACTTGAGGGCTTTCTCAAGCCCTCCTGGTAGGGGAGTGGATAGGATGGGCACACGTTTTCAAGGATAATCAGGAGTCTTTGTGACCTGGTGTGTGCACCTCTGTTTCCTGCAGATGCCACAGCTCAGTTTCTCTCCCTCAAATGAGTTTCCTTGACATGGGGCTGGCTGTCTGCAAAGTCACTCGGTCCCTGAATCATCAGCTAACTTTCACAGAAGACAGGAATCCTTCCTGTTGGGTCATCCACGTGCCCAGTGGGCTGAAGGTCATTGCTGTACAAGAGGAGCGGGCAGATCCTGCAGGTGGAAGAGACAGAGAACTGTAGGACCTGGGTGCACAGCCTGGTGTGGGTGCAGCTCCCTGGAGAGAGAGGTGCAGAGGCAAAGCCTTCCCCAGAGCCAGCCGACCCACGGGAGGGAGGCAGAGGCACATCCAGCCCAAACCTGCACCAAGGCAACCAGGTTCACTCTGTGGATCATCACGCGCACGAGCCCTTTGGGGAGGAGGCACTGAGCATCCTCCTTCCGAAGCTCCCCAGGCCTCCTTGACACAAAGTTGCATGGTTGAGTCTGGAGTTCTGAGCTCAAGTTCAAGCCCAGTCCATTGCCATGAACTTTTTCTTACTCCTGATAGAACCCCACGGTCCAGTTCCCCTTTGCAACTGTTGCATGTTGAGATCTGAATGATGCGACCTACCAAGTCTTTTTTTTTTTGCCTTAAGTTTTAGATTTTTAATTTTGAAACAAACTTAACCTTCCAGAAGAATTGCAAATACAGTATAAAGATGTCCCCCCCCCCCACTCCCAGGAGATATTTGAGAGTAAGTTGCCACCATGTTTCCACTGCTGTGGAAACCTTAGTGTGGGATTCCTACAGATAGCACCAAAAATTTCGCTTCCGGGGTAGCAGCCCTCGCACAAGCACAGCCACCGGGGAGCTACCCAGAGCACACTGCCACCAATAAACCCTTCATGTCTGACCAACTGTTCCAATGATGTCTTTTATAGAAGAGGAACTCACTGTCACTCCTTTGTCCTGTGCCTTCAGGGCCCTCTGAGCCCAAACAGTCTGTGCCTCTCCTTGACTTTGATGACGCTGACAGTTTTTAAGACCACAAACCAGCTCCTCTTAGAGTATCTCTCAATTTCTAGTCTGGGCGATGACTCCCTGTAATTCATGACACTGTGTCCTCATTACCTCCAGGCGTGGTACAGAGAGCTCTGAGTCCTTGATGGAGGTGGGTCTGCCGGACTTCTCCATCAGAGAATTGGTCCCTTTTCTCTGTGTCATTAATTACCTTTTGTTTTTGGTGGCACTCTGTGATTGTGCAAATATTCTTTCTCATTAATTATTTTCTAGTTTACATAATTCTGTGGAGTCAAGGATTCCTCTTGCATCCGTTCCTCATAAGCCATTTGCTTTATTCTTCATTTTGTTGCTCAAAGTGTCCCAGATTGGTGAGGGGGAGCTCCTTCGGGCTGAGTTCCGTGCCCTTTTGACATGTCTTCGTCATCTTGCTGAGTATCTCCCTGGTTGTGGAATCGTGCCACGGCCCAGATTCATCTTGTACTTCCCTTGCCCCAGCCCTGACATTGCCATCCCTCCGGGATCCGCGGCTCCTTCCGGCAGAGAGTGACGTGTAGAAGGCAGACTGGAGATGGAGTGTGCTCCCTGCTCTGGGGGTGGCCGCTGCCCGGCCTCTCAGGGGAGTTGTGCGCCTACCCGTATGTGGACATGGGTGTGGCACACGCATCCCGCTATTTATATCTGTATTTGTTTCTGATTTTATTGACACATTCTGACAACCACGAGTTGACATGATCGTCTCCATCTGCAGCCCAACACTCCGGGTTCGTCCTAGTTTCCTCCTTCTCTCCTGGTGGATAGCCCTGTCCATGGTGAGGACTTCCACTCTCATCATCCCAAGTCCATTTACTTATTTGAGCCATCTCCTGGGAAATAACCCATCTCACATCGCCATGGTCCCTCCGTCCTCCCTCTGGAAGCCTGTCCTTCCTGGACACGCTCCCACACCTTTCCCCAGGTGCGGACACCTTCCTGACCCTGGGGGCCTGACCCTCAACCTTGGGTCCTCCTAGCCTGGTCAGCTTCACTGATGGCTTTTGACCCAATAGGCTTAGAGAGGCAAGGGGGACAAGGGGACAGAGGAGATGGCTGGTCTTTACAGTGATGATTTAGTGCCCAGAGCATTTGAAGTCATGAGCAGTGTGTTTTATTAAATCTATTTTCTAAAAAAAAAAAAAACACACTTTTTGATGGACACATCAGAACCTAGAAGCTGTGCTGAGGGCATTGAATCTCTTAACGAGGCCACTCCTGGTTGGAGCGAGCTCTAGAGCCCACAGCTCGGCTTCGGTCTTCTCTTCCCTCTGAGCGACGTGGGGTGCACCTCCAGGCCTTGCCTCTTGCCTTCGCTGGCCGTCCGTCCAGTCAGCTCTGGGTCCACAGAACCTCATCTGGTGAAAGGGGAAGACGAGGCCCCGGCAGCATCTGCAGAACCTCCCACACCCTCCATTCCCTGGTGGTCACTGTTGCCAGCTCAGTCCCCATCCTGCTCCTCTGACAAAAATGTCTGGGAGTCCTGAGGGGCAGGAAGAGTTGTGAGCAAGCCAAGGCCGCCCCGTCCCTGAACTGGCTTGTCCAACGCATTGGGGGTCACATCCCTGGACTCTCTGGGCTGAGCATCATCCTGCTAAGGTTTGGAAAAGAGTCGGGCCCACGATGCTGTGCACCCCCCTGCCCCCCCACCCCCACACCACCACTGGAGGGTCTGGGATTCGTCTGGAAGAGCAAGGGATGGCCTCTCCCTGCCTCCAGGGCCAGTTCTCTATGCGATGCTCCTGTCACAGTCCCCCATGGCTCTCAGCTACTGCTGCCATAATTTTCTCCCCTGATAAACTCCACATGGAGACCCATGGCTGCTATGCGGTACATTTAGGGAAAGGGACCGAGATGGTGCCACCATGGGGGGAGGGGGAGATGATGAGAAGACAGGAGGGACACAGAAAGAGGCAGCCGTGGGTGCCAAAGGAAGTGCAGCCATTTCTCCCCTTCTGGGACAATGGTGGCTTGCACACTAGGTTTGAGTTTTATGTACCTCTGCGGGTCCTGTTTGGCTTGGGCTTGGCTTGGGCTTGACTTGGGCTTGACTTGGGAAGGTGGGGACAGCTGGCTTTCTTCTCTGAGTCACAGGAGAGAGAGAACACGGCTCCCTGGGGGCTGGGAACTCAAAGATGGACTGCCGGGGAAGCGCAGGGCCTTGATGTCCCCACCTCTGCCACGCTGCACCCCTTCCCTGCTCCTAGATTCTTGAGCGATGTGAATCCTCCCACCCCCCCCCCAGTGCAGAGTGCCATGGCCAGGACTTGTTAAATACAGCAATTAAAATAGTTCTCTTATTAACTTGGTGATAACACTTCTTTTTTTTCCTCCTCTGAAATTGTGTGTTAGTATTTTATTAATTAAATTTCCAGTTCCAACAGCACCCCAGGGGGCTCCCAGGGGGCCCTTCTTCCTGGGGGGTGGGAAGGCGGCTCACAGGCCAGACAGGTTCTCATCTCTCTGGGGCCAAACAGCCCTTCTGCTGGAAGAAGAGCTGAGAGAAGGTAGAAGGCGCTGTAAACAGCTGCCCTACATAAGACGGCAGATTTAGCAGTGAACAATGAAGAGCCGTCAGGGAAACTTGAATTTCATTGAAACAATCAATACTATTTTTAGTGTATCTCCAAGACAGCGCGGGACGTGCTGACACCAACACTTACTGGCTGGTTCCCTGAAACTCAAACGTAGCAGGGCACCCAGGGTTTTCTGCGCAGCCTCTTACCTGCCTCTCAGCATCGGTTAGTATCTCCAGGAAAGAGATTTTCGATGGCTCTTTCTTTAATTATTGCATGATCGCTGGGGGTTGCTCTAATT